AAGAGGAGGGTCTATGATGGTAAAATAAGGGTTTTCTAAATGCAATAATATGAAAAGTGAAACATTTGACATTTCATTAGATAGGCTTTTCCCCGACTGTCTGATTCTACAATTTTGGGGGTTTTTTTGTGACCAAGACTCCAATCAAACCTTTTCTAACTTGTCTGGAAATTGCGAATATACCTCCAAAATTAATCCAACTAATATGCCGGATGATGTTAAACTTAGACCATTGTTAAGGCGACTAGAAATTGTTGAAAATTTAGCAGCCATCCAGGAACAATCTCAAATTGAAGGTTTGATAAAACAACCCGCAAAAATCACCGGTTGGTTTGATGAGAAGTGTTCAAACTACAAAAGTTTTCTAATGCCTTTCACTTGGGGAAATGCACAAAGGAGACTGAAAGAGGTATATTACTTTTGAATTTTAATTTCTATGTCACTAAGAAGGATCGTTTCAACCGTGTACTGTTTTGAGTTGACTTCGGAAACTGATGTCTATCGTAAAATCAGTAGAATGATTAAACAAAGTAGTTAAATTACATTATAGAACAGTGTCAATGAGAGCGAAAATGTTTATATTGAGTGTGAAGGTGGCTTGAAACAGCAGAAACTTGTCGAAAGCAGCTGGGTTAAACGAATGCCTTTTGAAACTGTATTCCGGAATGTTTGCCCACTTTGTGGAAACAACTGCCTACTGGCTATGTAGTAACTTGGACTGCGTCGTATTTTGAACATATTCATCTCACAGATACGTTTTTTTGTAGAAACCTTGGGCACAAGGAAACAGAGTTGTGAAGAAAAGTAGAGATCAGAAGGAGTAATGCCAACAGACAGTCAGATAAAAAAGAACAATAGACAGTCTGAAGAAGGATATGAAGTGGAATGAAAACTTACAGAAGATTTCTCCCGGATGTGTTACAAAATGAGCAGAAAAATGAGGAAGTAAAGGAAACAGTATTCTGAACAGTTTCTGCAATATTCAATGAATCTAAACTGAAGGGCATTGAGAAGATAGAGAATGGAGATGTCCCTGTGCAAATAATCGGTTTAATAGAGCTCTCTCTCGGACATATAAAGAGAACGCCTCAATTCAAGAGGTAGGGAAAGGATAGGCCTCATGAAAGTCAGGAAGAAATAGTAAAAAGCTGATGTCGTGAACTACTGGAGGGCTGTACATTCAATGCTTCATTGAGAACCTCCGAGGCATTTAATAATGGTAAGAAGAGAAATGAATCTGCATCAATCTCTTAAATACTCCCCAGAATGTAGAATTAAACGTCATAAATTAACACAACCAACAGAAGGACTTCAAGGAGACCCAAAAGGTTCTATGTGGAGGTTGAGACTTAAGAGGGTAGACGTCAAGAAACTTGAATTGCCAGTTATTAAATGTTTACCTTGAAAAAATTAGCCCTAACAGAGAGAAGTTGTGTTTTTTCTCCTCTTGGTATCGAGTTGAAGGTCGTAAATCTAATGATCAACTAATTAGGCTCCTTTCGGTCTTATGCAACAATATGATCCTTTGGGACCAAATATCTTAAATGTTGTTGTGCTTATTTTTTTCTAGGAATTTAGACGTAAAATTAGTCAGCGTATTTGGCTAATCATAAACTATGTTGACTTTGGCATTGGAACAACCTCACATGGTGGGAACTTGTAACTATCTTCATCAACTCACATGTCTTAAAATTATGACCCAATAGACAAATGTTTAAATATTAAATCCATTGCTTTATTGTCAATGCACATAAAGCAATGGATCATTCTTCACCTTGGAGGTGAAAGAGAATTTCTCAGACATTTTTATAGTGTCGCAGTCATGATTGATTAGACAAACGCCATGGAAAAACATAACGGGAGGAAAAAACTAGTTATACCCATGTCGTAAAGTGAAATAATAATGCCAATGAGAATTTGAAAATCATAGTTGGGAAACAATTTCGATTTATTCAATAAAAGTAAAGAGATGATACACACACCTGGGTCCATTAATGGATCTGTCTTTCATATGCATTAGGTGATGTCAGTGATGATTGTATCCAGAAACAGGTGTTGTACCTTATTCGTTTGAGATTGTCATATTTAGTCATCATTTATATGTGCAAGTTAGAGAGAAAGGTAGAAAACAGTATTCAAATTCGGCAATCAATATTTTCCTCTCAACAGTCAATATGCACCATATATTCCCCACTAAAAAAAATAATGCCAAACAAAATTTAATGCTACAGCCTACATTTTATTGTTAGAAAAGAAGTTACAATTTCATATTGTGAGGCAACTGAAATCGATTTACAACAAGTCCAATTAACTGGAGGCTAATGCGATGTTGGGGATAACGTCAAGATATTGAAAAGTTTGACTTCATTTGATTTTCGGATTTACGTTGTATTATATTTGCTGAAAGGAGAGCCCACTTTCTGAAATTCAAAATTCATGATCTGTCCTCTGGATTGCGGTTAATGCCTGTCTACGATGGCCCGTGCTTACTGTTCGCCTTATACTAAAAAAAAACAGTCCGGTCGTGTCATCTCGTCAATTTAATCCCAATGATTGAAAAGGGAAAGTGATCTCACTCGATGGTGAGTAGCAAAGTACTTCAAGCTTTACTCCAGTCCCAAATTAGTAGGAGAAATTTCTGGAATAAAATTGGGGTCTCGCTCTCCTTTTTTGTTCCATGTCATTGTGATAACATGCTTCTCTTTCTAGTTGAAATAATGAATTTCCTACGATGATGGCCTTTCAGTTAAAGTGTTAGAGGTAAGATTTTAAAGAAACCTAAGTTCCGAAAAACATTAAAAACTCTCTTACGTATCAACCAGTCATGTTTTTTTAATAGACTAGAATATAATTTAACTTTTTAAAGCAACGTAGTCATGCTTTTATGGTATCTATGGCTTTAGCAATAAATTCAGCTATTTCCTACTGTGGGAAAAGCATGCTATGAAGGATAACCAAAGTAAAATATTAAGGAAAGTGTGGTCTCACGCGTAAAGGCCTTCCCAGCTTATTGGCGATCCATTTATCCACTGATCGTGCTTACAGTTGGTCAAAGTTTGTATTGCATGATATTCAATCCATACATTCCGCATCCACGACACTGCTGTGGTGACAGAGCTGATTTCGGGATTGTGGAGGTTAAGCCGAGGCTTGTTTGTACAGTAACTACTACTACGCTGTACATTCTCTTATAGGCGTGATCTTATACCTGGCACCGTGGTACTATTTTACTACTTATTTAAAATTTCTTAACCGGAATAGCGACAGACGGTATTGTTTTCCATTCTACGCGATAATTTGCCCTTCCAATTCTTTTTCAACTGTGACATACTGGAGTACTTTTAGTAATCGAATGGTTAGGTGAGATAGTAACATATAAACTTAGGCCTAAATAGTAGAAATTTTTATTTAAACAATAAAAAGGCACTAATACGTTAAGTTGCTGATTAAGTGTTAATATTTTTGGAAATAGAACCAAAAGGAAAAGTAATGTATTCAATCGCGAATTTCTTCCAAATTGTGCTTTTAATTTCATAGATATCTTTGTTAAGAGACATGTATGGTCACTAGCTGGAGAAAAAATTTGAATTGGTCAATTTAACTTTGCCTTGTTTACCAATGTTGTAACTGCGCAAAAAAATCTCATTATGAGAATGTGGTAAATCAATTTTCGTGCAAGTCGACTTAATGGCTAATGGAGTCAGTAGATCTCCTTATTAAATGACGGAAATATTTCGCTGTGCCGATTTGATTAAACTGACGCCTTTCATCATAAACTAACAGCATAAATCCACTGTAAAAAATCTATTCCAATTAAGTCAATTTGGACCTGAGCAGTTATGTAAATTCGACTGACGATTAGAGTTTGCTTTAGCGACAAGCAACTTCAAAAGTTCAATCACAAACTCAACCCTTCAAGTTAAACCAATATTGATTTTATAGTTCTTTTAAGTGCATAAGTGGTTTTTATTCAGCTTGTTTTTGATTTTATTGCATTTTGCAGTTAACTACTTTGAATACCGGTTTCACTTAATAATAGTTTCAAGACTTATCGCAAAATAGACGATAATTGAAATTGTCCGATATCATAACACCTACTGTTTTGGTCGATATATAAATATGGCCCGCTTTTCAGACTAGGAACCAATGTACACATTCAAGAAATATTCAGCTGGATTTAGAGATCCATGACAAAGTAAATACAGGGCAAATTAGTCAAATTCAATACTAAACCACTGTCGATGGGAAACATCTTTACATCTGAATATACCGAATCATTGGAATGTGGGAGAAGAGTGTTTCAAAGACGTAAGAGGCAGACACAAAGGCAGAGAAAAGGTAGGATGATTACTGTGGAAGTGGTAGAATATGGCATCCAGTGGGGTGATGGTAGTTTGAAGTGAGAAGTCAACTAAAGGGCTAATGATAACCATCAAGACGCCTGCCATTTGATAGAAATAAATATATCTCAAAGCTCCACATCTCCTTACACAACTCGTATTTTGATACGAACTTTAGATTATCAGTAAGTCTTGGATTAACACTGCCAAAGTATTATTTATCCTAAAAATACCTTAATAAACGAATAAGAGTTCAGAAGTTGGATGACTCGAAATAATCTTAGACATCAGATAAACATAAATCTAGCGAAAATGCGTGATTATACGAGGCACTGCAAGCGCACACGTGCGTATAAGACCACATATCCGGCCATTTTCGTCGAAATGACGAAAGTATTTACCGTCGACGCCAAAATCTAGTTTTATGGCCGTCACTCCCGCGGCCCTAAAACACATAATTTCACATAAAACGATTCAGCAGAAAAGACAGATGGCAACCTTATTCCATCAAGATGAAGCAGTGATATACACACGTAAACAGTATCAAAGAGTGAGAGATCCCAAATCAAGGGAGTGGGGAAGAGCAGTTTGTAGAAGTTGTAATAAAAGGAAATGGGTGGGGGAGGTTAGAGGGTTGATTGTATTGATTGGCTAAATCATTTATGCCCTGGTGTTACGCAGACGAACTTCATCCGGTTTAGAGCTCCTAGAACGTACATGTATACAACCACACGATGAGATGGAGCATTCTAATAACATAAATAAACCCAGAAAAAAGAAACTTACTTGTCAACAGCATTCCCATTAGGTGATGTAGTTTCAGTGGCAGCAGCAGGCTCTGATGTAGTAGGCTTCTTGCGAATTTGGTGACGTTCGTAGAGCAGAATCCCTGTTACTAGTAGAGTCACTTCAACAACAATTGCTACGAATGGCCACAGAGCTGCCCAACGGTCTGTAGTCAACAAAAAATGTTTAAGTATTCGTAACATATACGGGCAAACTGAATTTTGATAACAAAAACTTGATGAAATTGTTTTCATAGAACAACCAGAGAGTAATAAATGTAATTAATGGCTTAATAAAAAATTAAATTTTGGAATAGAATTGGACCAATATCCAATCGAAAAATGAGGCTGAGGTAATACCTGATGGTATTCGTCTAAACAAAAAGAGAATGAACAGATGGGGAGTAATGGAACATCACCATAGCTACTAAGAATTGAGTCCACCTCAAAAGTGAAACAGCAAATCAATAAATATCATTTAAATGTCTTTATCATTTAAAAGATTGAAGCGAAAAATGGCATAAGTCATATAAACACCGATAGAGAATCGGTAATGGCAAAAAAATAATAATTACTGGTGAAACTAAAAAAATTAATAAATCTTAATTCATTATAAAAAATCAATACAAGAAAAGGGAATATTTCGGCTCAATATAACTAAGCCCAATCATCGTTTAACAACACAGAAATGGTAAAGAGTAGATTCTAGACAAAACTATGGAATTCTGATATCCTTTGCATGAGCAGATAAAAAGGATAAATTTAATGTACGTGAATGATAGACTGCAAATTTTAAACCGAAATTCATCAGTCTAAATGAGGAAGTCCTCTTCCTTTTACCCACGAATAAACACAGAAACTACGATGAGTGCTGCATAAAAGATCAATAGTTGAAGTACATAGAAAGGACACACCTTTAACTCCGACAAGTAAAAAGGTTGAATCGCTGCCAATAACGTTCGAGACATTGCAAGCGAAAAGACCATTTTGAGCAATACTGATGGATTCGAACTTAAGAGTATCATTTGGGGTGCCTCCCTCCGAAGAAAAAATGGCATCTTTCCATGACTCGTTGGAGAAGTCAATTTCCACCAGGAGGCCAGCAGCTTCAGAGATCGCAGTCTTGTCATCAGAAAGTTCCACAGGGATTGGAGCAAAGAACCAAGAAACATTAACTGGCGTTGGATAGCAAGAGACACGACAAGAGATACGCAAAGGGTCACCCTGCAAAACTCGCTTTGGTTTGGAATAAACAGGTAAAATGGGAGCAGCTACATATTGTTAAAAGCGCGAAAATTATTAATAAAATATAATAAAAAACGGATTAAAAGGTTAATATTATACAGTCAACTTTGGCAACCGCTGAGGCAGTTTGAGAATCCGATGTAAGTGTCAATTTGTATGAACCGCTATTTGCGGCTAAAATATTTTTAATTACCGCAAAGCAAAACAATATTACCTGAATTCTTAAGATGGAGAGTTATATCAGTCAAAAATCCACTTGAATTTAGATGCTTCTCAGCATAGACATCCATTCTATCATCAGGAGTGCCAACAGAAATACTCTGGTTGTTGTATAACAATGAAATAGCCACACTTTTCGATGGCACATCAACAACGTTAAATTTTAAAGCAAGATTCAGAGATTCATTCTTTGCACGTTTTTGAAATTGAATACTTTCATACTGGATGCTTGACATAAAGGTAGGGAGAAGAACATTCGAAGGCGGTGCGACTAAAATGTCAAAGGATTTATAATCAAAATTACCACTAAAAGCATCGGCTAAGAATGTCATCGAAACAAGAAGTAACAAGATACGAGAGATCGCTACCATCATAATTAGAAATAACCGATCTGAATCGAAGCCAGGCGTAAGCTAGAAAGAGGACTCGTACAATGCGCGTTTGCAGACAAATTAGTTATATTGTCAAAATAATTGTATCTAACTTTATTTATGTTTATTCTAATCAATTTAAATATATAATTAAAATATATTTAAAAATTTATAATAGATTACTCAATAGAAACATATGACTATTTTGAAGATTGCATTAAATTATAGCATCTTTTATGTTTTTATCAGATTTTTATTTTTTTTCCCAATTAATATGTTACATACTTATCTATTTGTAGAAGTTTGCAATTCATCGAATAATTGAACTTAGGGGCACTCTTTACTTGGGTCATTGTTCACTAAAGCAATCGGTAGTGATGACTTCGGATCCGTCACGTCCTGAAGACGTGATGCGAATGTTTTATGATTATGCCGAAAAAGATGACAATTTTATGACACGTAAGAGGACCTAGCTTATCTATGCATCTTCATACTTTGATATGTTAAATTTGAATTCTCCTTTTATTCCCAGAAATCGTTCTTAATTTCGTTAATTCGGCTGTGCAACGACAGTTAGGAAAAGTGGACTTTGAATGGCTTTACGAATTTAAGAGGTTTGGCTCTGTTTTTTTGATAATAATTGTTAGCTCTTATGCGAAGTGCGATGCAACACTTTTTACTGCATTGGTACTAATTAACAGATTTATAAATCTCAACCCAAAGCCATCTATTTATTACGAATTAACTGCAACGGAGTTGTTTGTCGTTGCTACTGTAAGAATTGGTTTATTTGCTCATTCTTAACTTATAAAAGCGTTGTAAGACATTTAATGTATATATCCTATTATAGTTGGCTGCTGCTAAATTCCTACAGGATGCAGGTTCAATGGATTCTGTTACTAATCAAACCTTGTCGGAAAACCTAGACATTGAGTTGAAGGATATAAAAAAAGCTGAATTGGATTTTTACAACGCTCTCAGTTGGAACTTATTCGTATCCAATTCCGACTTTGTTGAATTCGTTACTATGAAGCTAATAGCACCAATGCGTTCTTATCTTGAATCCCGCAGCAGGCCTAAAGTCCGCCCTCGCAGATCTGTTAGTCAGCTTTCAGCGATTCAGCCCAACCACCTAACTACAAGATACATCCAGCGGAATCGTGTTCTTCCCAAACTCCCTTCAGCTAGGGTACGTAATATTTTTTAAAAATCGATAAATAAAAGTAACACGAGAATTTTTTCTAGCAGTCTTATAAAACCAGGTCTGTACCGTTATGCTGTCCTACTCATTGGTTGTTTTCCTCTATTAACAGCCTTAATTTACTTTTTATTCCCTTGCGCGTACAAACGCATTGGGTGCTTTTTAAATATATGATTTATTTTCAAAATTGAGTTTGGAAGCGGCTCTTGTCGTCCAATATTTTAGTTAGCGTTTAGTCTTTACTCTGTCTAAGAAAATGCTAATGAATACAAAATTCGTTCCTTGATGACAAGTTTCTCAATATTTTTAAGTACCACAATGTTATGCGGGTTTCTTGAGTTCAGGTATAAAATTCACCTATTGTATTTTTTCACATTCCCTCTGACCATTTTATTGAAATGCGGTTACCCTTTATGAAAATCTAGTTCTTGTCCATAAACAGATTCCAATTTACATCTAAAAATCACTTCATTTCTGCCTAGCAGGTTAATCTAGTCTGTTTTTCTCTGAGACCTTAGCAGTTTTAGCGAACTCTGTAATACTTGCATCATCCATATGTTTAGTAAGTGCCTAGTATGTTGTGGGACACGTCATCGCATGCCTGCACGCCAGGACTGGGAGGTACGACCGTACAAACAGTGACCAATCATTAATCTCTGTTTGTTTAACCTAATCCGCCATCCTGCGTGTACATTTTATCCGCAATATACGTACTGAATAAACATGCTCCGTGCTACACGTCTGTTTCCTTTCATAGCTAAGCTATAGCTTGGCTGGTTCTGGGAGTCTAGCTAGATGTTGGAGGATCTGCCATAGAGATTTCTGAGTCGGTTAGGCTTTACTAAGGTAGCAATCCGCTACAATGTGTTCATTAGCTGCACAATAAGTGTTTTTATTCCATTGCTAATTTACATGCATTCCGATGTTAAATGC